GTCATTCAGTTCTGATCTTTATTTGAAAAGATATATTCCCAGCCTTTAAATGTTTAACGTAGTTTTAAAAGTATGATCAGGTATAGTTTAAGCTTAGGAAGGAAGCCTTCGTCAATACTGAAGAGAACCATAACGGATTAACCTGAACATTGCAATAAAAAATGATAGAGTAATAGGAGAAATAAATCAATAATTAATAATAATTACAATGCTTCATCTAAGAAATTTGGACAACTTAAGACTATCTATATAATACTAAAACACTAACCTTGTATGTATGTATGTGTGTTCCAGAGATACAGTTTAAAAGATACATAATATCCGAACCAATATAACTAGATGAGAAAATAATAACATAATCAACATACCGACATTCCACACTATTTCAAACAAAAGGTTAGGAAGGAAACCCCTTTTAGTACTGGAAAGAGCAATAATAGCTACTGGCCATAGGAACCCAATTTACCCGAAAAATTGTTTTAAGAAAAATATTTCATAAATGTCAAGCGAAAGTAGCACTGGCTGCTCTGGTCAATGAATGCCGAACGTTTCTTTAGAATAAAAACACCAAAATCTTTATGTTATTATACTGTTTGTTAACTTTTTATATATTTTTGATAATTTTATTGTTGGTTGTTGTTATTACGTTTACTTGTGTTTATGTTTTCATTCGTGGATTGTTAATGTGTTAATTATTTACAGAACTTATTTAGTTATTTTTGTTTCTTCTTGTCCGTTTTTAATTTTCCATTTTTAAGTAACGTAGTAAAAATTTGTTTTAGTGTCTGCATTTTGAGATGAGTTCTGATCATTTATTTAGTAGTTTGTGTTGATCTTGGAAGGTAATTATAGTTATTTTCTTCCCCAGACAAAGTTTACAGTTTTTGGATTTATTGTTGGAGGCCGATGCTACTTTCCTAATTTTCTATTATATTTTTTATGTAATTTGGTTTTTGTTTTTAATCTCCTAGATATATTTAGAAAGTATTGTTCTGTTCGCGTATTTACTATTTGTAAAAGATATTTTGGGTGCGTAGTTACTTTGATTCCAGGGTCTTTCAGTTATATGTATATATGTATATATGTATATTTATTTCTTCGTTATCTGCTAATTTTACAATGGCTTGAAATATTACATTATTCTGCAAGCAATTGCCGTTTAAGGGATATTCGTTCTTTGTTCTGCAGTTATACGTGCACATATACTTGCACATACATATATTTTTTTTCTTTCAGGTGTTATAAAAATAGTGCTAAATTTTATATAACAGAGCTATTATATATATAGTGAATCCGAGTCGGCTATTATGCATATTCACACACACACACACACACACACACACACACACACACACACACACACACATATATATATATATATATATATATATATATGAAGAAGAATAATTAAAACAAAAATCCGAATATTTAAGGACATGTGCATGTTTTAATAGTAGACCTTCTTCAGGACATGTCATGAAGAAGGTCTACTAGTCCGAAACGTCTGACGTCGATATTGAAAACAACATTAAAACAGCATATGTTCTGAAGAAGGTCTACTAGTCCGAAACGTCTGACGTCGACATTGAAACATTAAACAGCATATACTTGCATATTCGGATTTTTGTTTTTCCATATTTTTCTTCATACTGTCGGATCTATATCCACATATTTCCTTAAATATATATATATATATATATATATATATATATATATATATATATATATATATATATATATAAAGAGAGAGAGAGAACCGTTTCCTAATTGCATAAAAATTCAGAATCAGAAGAATCAAGAAGCCGTCCTTGAACAATTTGAACCCTACCAATGTATATATGTATTTATGCGTCAATTTGTATGTCTATGTTCCTTAGGGCTTAGGAGATGATGCGCATGCGTATTTATGCATGCGCAAATCGGTAAACAGAAAACAAACAAATGTAAATTAACACGGATGTCAATGAATCAAACAGAATTAAAACTTAATAAGATAAACGATCACGAGCAAAAATTTACAGGATGACGTAAAAAGATAAAACAATTATAAATGATGAAATCAGGAAAATAAAGTTGAAAATAAATTTAATAAGCAGGATAAAGGGAAAATAAAGATATTTAGACAAAACAGTTTAACGCATAAAAAAAACATTTTAGAATGCGGGCAAAACGTCCCAGCGCCGTTCTCTTTGAAAGCTAAATAACTTTTTACGCTATTATTCACAAGGTCCAAGAGCCACTCAAAGTAGAGTTACTGAAAGAAGTTGTTTCATAAGTGAGGTAGGCTGATGAAAATTATACTGAATAATAAACGATTGAAAATCGATATTTTAATAAAAATGATAACTTTGCGCACATCTAATGAAAAGAAAATTAAAATAAATAATATTTTTCAAAAAGATATGTATAAGATTTCTTGTATGAAAGTATGTCTTCAATGTCTAAAATGGCAATGGATATACCAGGCATGATTTACATAGGCAAGTAATTATTCATGTACTCACTATTATATGAAGTCTTATAAAAAAAAAAGTACCGGGACCATTGCTATGGCAACGGAACTAAAGTACTCAGAGTAAAGCCACTTGGTGCCATTGAACTTGATCTCTGTTGCGCATACACATTAATTTATAATGTTCTTACTCTCTTCAATTGTTTATAAACAGTGCTTGGAAGGAAAGTGTGTAGAGTGTAGTCGTCTTAACACACCACAGAGTTTCCATCAGTGACCATGGCTTGCGCAGAAATGTTTGGCTAAGAACAGCATTTTTCAGGACCGAAAAACACTATATTCACCAGATCTCGTCCTTTGTAACTTTTTCCTCTTCAAAAATCAAATCCTACTTGAAAGGAACGAGATTTCAAGATGTCGAGGAAATTCAAGAGAATGTGATGAGGCAGATGTTCGCTATCCTCAATAAAAGAGTTCCAGGAATGTTTACATCAATGAAAACGACGATAGATAAATTGTCTGACTTCAGAAGAGATGTACTTCGAAGGAGATTTAATGCCGAATTGTTATGTGATGTAGTTTTCTTTTTATAGCACCAGTTCCTATAATCTTTTACCAGATCTCGAATACTTTTCTCTGATGAGCATGACTGGTAATAGGACAGAGCACAATGAGAAATTGGTTACATACGATTGCTTGATTTTTACAACGTCAACTCTTCGTGTGTTAGTTAATATTGAATTTTTGCACGGAGCACCGAATGTAGATTGGAATCTCAACTCGCTATTAATGGAAAACCAGGTCGGGAACACTAGAATCAAGCAGACGCAAAATTTTAAATATCTGGGAAGCGTCTTGACAGAGGACGATAAGTGCGAAACTGAGATCCGTAAACGTATTAGGATAGCCAAGGACACATTCTAAAAGCTGAGCAGAGTATTGCGAGACAGTAGAATTTCTTTGGTAACAAAGAAAAGAATACTGAGCTGTTACGTGACACCTGTTCTTCTTTACGGCAGTGAATGTTGGACGATTTCCTCAAAGATGAAGAAGAGACTCAAGGCGACAGAGATGTGGTTCTACAGAAGGATGCTAAGGATATCATGGACCGAGCATGTGAGCAACGATGAGGTCTTAGACAGGTTACAAACAAGGAGAAGGCTTATACTTAACATCAGAAAGAGGCAGCTGAAGTTTTTGGGACACATAATGAGGAAGGAGGGCCTGGAGTATCTGATACTCACGGGTCAAATAGAGGTAGAGAGAGATAGCGCGAGACATACCTGATGATGACAGAATGTGGTCTGGGGGAGGGAGAAGAGGGAAGGAGCTTTCTTAGGGTTGCAAGGGATAGAGGGAGGTGGAGAGCCATGATCGCTTGCGCCCTAAAAGAACATGGCACATAAAAAAAAGGAAGAAAAAGACAAGCCTCGTTAACAATTGCCCAACTCTGATGGGCCCGTGAGTTGAATTCAGGTCCTTCCGAAGGTTGAAAATGCTAACGTGATCTCAGCAGTCACGACAGGGACCTGAAGTCACTTCCTCGATTTCGATTGCTAACTAGGATACAATGGCCTAGCTTGAGTGGAGGGTGGGGAATCCGCTCCGGGCGACATTTTTATGGGAACGGCACTTTTGTGAGGGCGGCACTTTTATGGGGGCGGCACTATTGTGGGGGTGGCACTATTGTGGGGGTGGCACTTTTGTGTCTGCTGTAGGCTATAAGCTTTATAAGCTGTATTGGAATAAAAGTGGTTTTAATGACTGAACAGTACTCACAGTTGAAGGACCTATTCGATTTCGATTAACTTCAATATGCCATATATATATATATATATATATATATATATATATATATATATATATATATTGGCCTATCTACTGTCCATAGAGCAACAATTGACAGATGAAATAGTTTTTTTCGATGTCATTGAAGAATTTGCCAACAAAAAAAGCAAGAAAAATTACTTAGCAGAAGTTGTAATTTTCAATTCAGAAATAAAGATGGTCCTGATTTTTTTATATTATTCTTTCCCTATATGTCACTGTTTAACTGTTACTGATAAGGTTTAAGTATGTTTGGTGTGTATTAAAGCATACTATATTTGAATATATGAAAGTAATATTATAATGGTACACAAACTAGTTTTATGACTTTAAGAATGAGTCACTGTACAATATGTATTTTTTGTCGGAGACGAGTAGAAGGCGGCAAACTCAAGGGCGGCACACACTCCATCTATGCCACTAGGATGTCAATTTGCTAACAATCTCATAGAAAAATGGGCTTTTCAATAAAAGTAAAGCATTTAATGCAATCGGATTGTTTAAATTCAAATTTGAAATCTCTTATTAAAATTTGAGGCTTAAAATTCTGATCTCAAGTAACGACAGTTGGCGAGATTAGTTTGAATTTGTGATCGGATGTTTATAGGATGTTACATCATGTTTTTCATTCTTTACCCACTCGATCTTTTTTCTCTCGGATCTTGCTTTTTCGT